CCGAAGACAGGAGGTAGCAGGGGGTGGAAAGGGAGAAGGTGGTTTTAGTTTGCTTTTGGTTCTTGCTGCTCTGGTCTTTTATCAGCAGCAATAAATTGCATTAATCTCCCTCTATCAGGTCTGTTTTGCCTGTGGCAATAACTGGTGAGTGATTTCCCTGTCCTTATCTCAGCCTTTGAGCCCTTTTCCATCATATTTTCCCCTCTCTTCCCTTAAAAATGGGGACTGAGTGTGGCTGCAGTGTAGTTCAGCTCCCATCAAGGGAAACCACCAATTAAAAACACAGTGAAAGTGAAGTTTACAAAGTTCTTTTGAAAACAAGCAACAAAACCGTATGCTGCCTATAAACTCTGGTGTTAGCAGACAATTACCACCATTCCAACCACAGGAAGTCCCTACCTCATCAACCAGGGAGCCAAGCACACCTGCTCCCTTGCCTTTAATGATCAGCCAGCTCCTGTCCTGACCTTCCTCCTTTCAATGATTAAAGAGCTCCAAGGCGAGTGCCAGTAATAATGGTACATTTTTCCCTTCTGCAATGTAATCTTTGCCCCTTAGAAAGTGCTGATGAGAACTTGCCCCCACTTAAAATGTACATAAAAACCAACCCATATCCTGCTGCGTGGAAAAGGACTGGTGAGGCGTCAGGTGTTACTGCCACAAGAGACATGGAATTACTCCAGTGCAGAAATGATACACAGCCCCACATCGGCAGCGAACAGGCTTTGATGCACGCTTACTATTTTTGGAGGCAAATAACATGCAAGTGATAAAGCAAATGAGCATTTTAATGATGATAAATAGAGGAGGACACGCAGAGCTGATGGGTGAACGTGGCTTCCCGCAGGAGGAAGATTTATGGGAGCTAATTACGGTATATCAGATTTATGGTGGAAAAGCAGAAAGAGGAAAAACTTGGGGAAGAACTTCCTTGTGTCACCTGGGAACAACCGTTTCCCTTCAGACAAATGTAACAGCAGCTCAATGCACGCTCCCAGGTGGCCTTTTTATGTCTTACACACTGACATGTGGGAAAAGCCTGAGGCGTGCACGAGTCTGTGGAAGTTAAATAGAATCAAATTAGTTACAGGGAAAACACAGATTTGAAGCCGGCGTGAAAGAATGCCAACAATTAGCGCTTAGATCGGTGTTCAGTATACTCGGTGTTCAACATACACGTGCGTTTTCAATTCATTGTGTGGGGCAAACCCAGCAGGGTGCTGCCCTCCCACCTCAAATTGATCTCAGAGGGGCTTCGCGTTTATCAGCGGCGATCCGAACTCAACGCAGTAGCCTGGAAATTTGTTAACAGAAGCCACGAACACAACCGTGAGAAAACCGGCTAGCGGCACTACAGCCCTCATGTCCGACAGACGTCAAAAGGGAACTCGCGTGCCTTAAAGACCCCTTTAGGCCGGAGCAGCCGGCGCTGTACGAGAAGTTTGAGAAGCGAGGGGGAAAGCGGCAGCCCGTCCGCACGCAAACGCCCGCGAGTGAACCTGCCCACAGCGCCCGCAGCTCCCCTCGCCCCACGACATGCCTCGAAATGGCGGCGGTGCGGCCGGGATAGGGGGTCCGCTTGGAGCCGCTCCTCTACCCGGGCCTCCCCACACAGTCACGGAAGGCGCCGGGCCGGGCGGAGCCGCCTTAGCTCACCTGGGCCCCGTGCGAGCAGCGAGGCCGCAGCCCTCCGGCGGCGGCAGGACGGCAGCGACCGAGAGGTGACGGAGAGCGACCCGGGCGGTAGCAGCCCATTCGCGGAGCCAAGCTGCGGGCACCTGCGGGCCGCCCGCCCCGCTCCTCCCCACCGGGCCCGGCCACGCCCGGGGCTGAGGGTGAGGCACGGGCGGCAGCGCCGCAGGCGGAGGCGGCGTTGGGCGCGGCGCTGAGGTGAAGGGCGGTGGCGGGGCAGGCCGGGGCTGGAGGACAGCTTCTGGGCCGAGTCCGATCCGGTCGGAAGAACGGACAGAAGTAGCACCTGTGGGGATAGTTTCCCGCCTTGGACTGAATCTGTTTCAGTATTTTCTCTCTGACTTTCGGGCTTCAGTTTCAGTACAAGCACCTTTTTGTCCCTCCGGTGTAAGTCTGGGGACTGTGGTTTTGCATAGGAAACACAAGGATTGCCTGCAAACAGAGAACAAGTAGCACACTGCATTGCTTTGCTGTTTGAGGTGAAAGCGTTGGAATGAGCAGTGCTGTGGTGCTTTGCTTTTGTATGACGCTGGTAAGGGAAGCTGAAATGAACATGGAAAGCTGGCATAGGCTCAGTGTCAATGAGACATGGAATCGTTAAGGTTGGAAAAGACCTCTCAGGTCATGAAGTTCAACCAGCAGCCCACCCCCACCATGCCCACTGCCCACATCCCTCAGTGCCACATCCACACGGCTCTGGAACACCTCCAGGAACAGTGACTGCACCACCTCCCTGGGCAGCCTGTGCCACTGCCTCACTGCTCTTCATGAGGAAAAAGATTTTCCTAATATCCAACCTAATATCATTTCAGAATTACTTCTAGAGCAGCCACCGCAGGCCTAGAGAGAAATTCAATTATCCATTTTACTTCTGTTGAGTTGTACTACTTTCAAAACTTGCAAGCCATCCTGTCAACAGTGATTTTCAATATTACTGTGTGCAGGAAGGCATATCTGTCTAAAGCAAACCTGTGCAGCACCTTGTTCACCTGCAAGGCTGTACCACAGCTCTGACAACAATGCTTTTTGCTTTGTGTACTCTGTAATTGCTTGGGTGTAGGCTCCATTCAAGATAAAAATGTTTGTTCTTCCCCATCAGGAAATAAAATAAAATAAAAATAAATGTGGGAGAGCCTAGAGAAAAGTTAAATTATAATTTACTAGAGAACCAGGTGAAAAAATCTGTTGGCTGGAGACATCCTTTCAGGCCATGTCTTATACATAATGCTTTAATTATAATAAACTTTATTTCCTCAGAGTTTATGAACAAAACAGCTGACCCTTGTCGTGAAATGAGAATGTATGTTTCAGCACAGTCAAACCAAATCCACCTCATCAAGCTGTTTTTCTTCTGTGTGGAAAGCATCCAATGCGTAAAATCAACTCTGGCATATTTTTCCACGTGTTTAGGTAACTGTATGTGAATGCCACAACAGCCGTGATTCACTCATCTTCATTCCACATACTCCCTCTGCTGGAAATGAATGTGAAAGGCCAGAGGATCGGAAGGAGAGATTGAGTGCAAGATACATTAAAAATAATAATAATAAAAGAGCATCTTTCATTAAAAGATCACACACTCCACGGCCTGTAGTGGCTGCAGACTGACTGATTAATGGGCCTCAGAGGACAAGGAAGAAAGTGAAACCATGTGTCACAGCTAGTACTTCCCATTCTGCCCTACACGAGGAGCGCTCTTCCAGCCAGGGGCTAAAAACACTGTTTTAACACTGCCAATACAGTCTTAACTCAGATTGCAAGTTGCTAAAGACAAAGCTTCATTAGTGACCGAATGCAAAAATAACTGAATAAATCTGGTTTACTTTCAGTAGAAACAGCAGCATAAATTGTCTCCATGGATTTTAGGAAAAGCACTGAAATACTTCTACCCAGCAAAACAGTGAATTCCTCCTCTTACACAGAATGATACTGCTGGCAGTGATGCTGTCCTGCATAATTAGTAGCTTCCATTTCTTCTAGGATAAAGGAGTATACGGATGGGGGATGCAAGATCCACTGTGATTTTTCTCTTCAAATCCTGACAGCTATTTGCACTCAAGTAAATAACTGCTGTTGGTAAATGGTAAGAGATTCCACTGCCATAGCTGAGCAAAATCAATTGAAACAGATCCAAAACCAGTGGCTAGAAATTACAAAAACAGTGCTGCAGGAAAGCCTGAACATCTTAAAAATACTGTAGGGTCCTCTGTTACGCAAACAGATAACTTTGAACCATCACATAGTATCTGAGATCGATTTTAGCATGCTCTTATTTCATAAAAAACACAAATAGCATCTTCAGGTTTGCTTACATAAAAATATTGTGGTAAATGGTAAATTTAAAAAAAATTTAAGAAAGTGAAGTTTATAAGTATGGCATTGCTGACAGTTGTAAATAAGAGTCACAAATGTAAACAAATGATAAATACATTTTGGTATGTATTTATTTCCAAACAACATGGTATAATAAAGAAACAGCAATAAAGCAATAAGGAAACAGTCACGATCACCACAAATTTAACAAAGCTCAATTAACTCTTCTTTTATCTTTCAGTTTCTGACTTTTCAGAGATCTTGCCTCTACAGTGCTCTCTGAATATCCCCACCTGAATTATTTTTGTTAACCTTGAATAATCAAACAGGAACTAAGTGCTGTCAGAAGTCACTGGAACGTTATGTACCATTGTGACTGACAAAGCTTTCTTTGGTCCCATCTCTTTCCTGATGCAATATGCAGAAACACAAATTCCTAATTTCCTTAATGTAACCCTGGTAACAAAGGCTATGACTTGACAAAAAGCACTTTATTACATCTTGATATTTTTAACCTCATATTCCCTTAATTGCTGAAGAATTTTGAGCTTTTACCTTCTGTAACATTTGGCTAGGGAGCACACAGGTACTGACTTTTTATGATCTTAAAGAGAAAAGTTATCATTTTTGTTATGGAGTATTTATGTCTTAGGATATGTCTCTCTGCACAGCTCATCCACTCCCAAGAAGAACTCAATTTTATCTATTTCACATTCATCTAACTTTGCCTTCTCATCTTTTATGTTATAGATTATTCATTTTATAGAATCACAGAATCACAGAATGGCCAGGGTCAGAAGAGACCTCAAAGATCATGAATCTCCAACCCCCCTGCCACAGGCAGGACCACCAACCTCCCCATTCAATACCAGACCAGGCTGCCCAGGGCCCCATCCAACCTGGCCTTGGACACCTCCAGGCACGGGGCATCCACAGCCTCTCTGGGCAGCCTGTTCCAGCACCTCACCACTGTCTGTAAAGAACTTCCCCCCGACATCCAACCTAAATCTCCCCTCCCTCAACTTAAAACCATTTCCCCTTGTCCTGCAGTTATCTACCCTTTCAAAGAGTTGATTCCCCTCCTGTTTGTTACAGACTTATTGACTAAGATCACATTTCTCAAACTTCTTTGTAACCATCTTCTAAAAAATCAGTACGGTAAGATGACTGCAAAACAAATGACTTTTTCTCATCTTCTGAGATGATCACTTTCTCTTGTACCTTTTAGTAAGTGCATAGTAAGGAAATGTATAATGTCATTACATCTGATTCTGCTGTCTCTATTACTTCAAGCCACCCTCTTAACACTGGTGACTGCTGAAATGACTTCTGTGGCTGAGTAAGAGTCCCCCAAAGAATGAAGAATCCTGCAAACTAAAACCAGACCACCTATATTGAAGAGTAAATTATTGTTACCTTGAGGAAGGTAATCCTAGAATTTACATTACAGATTCATTTTAATTTATTTTTTTAATACATTATTCATCAAAATGCTTTCACAGGATCTTTAAAGAAACCTGTTCCTAAAAAGCAACATAGGGTCATATCTATAGCTCATGTTAACATGTTTTTAAAAGTACTTAGGAGCATTTATATGGATTATGCTGTCTCTAACCATTACTTAACATATGAATTTTAATGCTTAGGAGTCAGATTGTCACAAACCAAACACATGTGAAGCACAAACGAGATACATGTTCAAACCATTACCAACTTGATTTTGCTTTTGAAAATAAGCTGGAGACCATTTTAAAATACTTTGACAAAGAAAACAAAAAAGATGAATAATCTATTGAAGAAAAAAAAAAGTGAAACCAAGAAGTGAGTTATTTTCTATTTTAAATAGGAATTACTTATCTATTTCTGAAGTCAGAGGTAGGGATTTTTCAGCTGATTTGTAGGGGAGAGTTCTACATTCTCTCTTGCATTTGATGGTGGAGAATGTGTAACACTGACAAATATTATGGCATGGTAGCTGAAATTCTGAGCAAGTGCCAGTAAATATCACCAAGAAGTTCTCATTCATATTAAAAAAGCTCTTTAATTAGAAAGTTAGTGCAATTGTAGTAAAATTGTCAGAAACTGAACACGCTCCAAGTATATATGTATATGAGAAACATAAAAAAATGCACATCTTCATAGTTATCACAACACTGTTGTAACTCCTAGCATTACTATTCTATTTCAGACAAATTAAGAAGTAGTTTAGGTTTTAAGAGAGGAAAAAAAGCCAACAACAAAAAAACTGCCTATCTTGAAATGGCATAGCACTCTTTTAAATGCATTCTTCACATAGTCCATCAAAAACAGATCAGTTGCTCTGAAAGTAATGCCTCCTTTTTATTTCCATGGAAACTACAGTAGATACAAGGAGCACAACAACACTATCTGATAGAGCAAATTCTCAGCTACAAAACCTTATTTTTCAACATAGTCACAATCAACAGCTAGGTGTTTTCACCAGCAATGAAGAAGACTCTGTGTATTGCTCTAGTAACAATCTGTACCAGCTGCTGCCACTGCTAAAATGCACCACACACCACCTCACCGTGCTCACATCCACTGCTTGGTCTCCATAAACATTCAGCAAGCATCTATGAATGTCAGTGGGTGCTATTTTTCCAGAATTCAATGACGTGCCTTCTCTTCAGTCGCACTTTCATGTCAGCCACTGCTGTGTCAGACTGCCCCTCTGCTGCCATCTGTCACACAGCAAAGCATGTAATGGAATATTGGTGGGAAGGTTCAACCTCCACTGCCATCCCACCAACATCTGCCTCTGTCATCATGGGCCAACACCACAAAATAGGAGGCATTACTTTCAGCGTAGCCCTCACACTTTCAAATCATGACACCTGAACATAGACACCTTTTTCCTCCAATAAAGTTTCATATTGTTATTTGCTATCCTGTTTTTTAATTATATCACTGACCTTTTAAAATAATGCACAATGTTAAAATTACAGTACAATGTGAGTACAATCAATGTAACCTGAACTTTTTTTATGTTTACAGTGATGGATGTGCCATGTAACACAAAAATACATGAGCGGGGAGGGGAAGGAAAGGAAGCTATCCATACCAATTTCTTCCCAATGAACAACAAAGAGTGTATATAAATCATGCAAGTATTTTTGAAATAGATTTAATGAAATAAAGCATTCAGCAGGCAAAAATGATAACTGAATGCAAATTAAACTTGAACTCTCCAAATAGTGTGCAGTCTTCACAGGCCATTGTGAATATAATATTAGAAGTCCTTGAATGAAGAATTCCTAGAAAATAAAACAAAACATAGTCTAATTTTGTAGTGAACATAGAAATAGATTCTGAGGTTTCCATGAACACAATTTAAGGTTTTGATTCTGAAAATACTACGAGCAGGCTTCCTGTCTCTTCTGAAATCAATCCAGGTAAATGATTTGAAGCATTAGACTTTATTGTGCAAATATGCTACAATGGTTTTTGAAGGGAAGGGCAAGTTTTGGACTCCTACCAAAGAAAATGTACAAAGGTCTTTCCCACCAGGTCTGCAAGACATGCTACATGGTGCATTCTTTTCATTTTACTCATACAGGAAGTCAAGTCAGAGAAAAATGGGAGAATAGGAAAAAGTTACCATCCAATTTTTTTATGATACCACATTCTGAATTTAATGAAAAAGTGATTGCCTGACCCATCTCCTATCTTAGGATGTGTGCTAAAATAGTGCACAAAATATGTAGTGTAAGAAGAGTGTCAATGGTAATTCCAGCACTGCTGTCTCAGGGTTTTTTACTGCATGTTCAGATACTGGTTGCAGAAGATTCCTCTACACCAAGAAATTATTGTTACTACCGTATCTTTCTGACTCCTCAAGTAAGTCATCTTCAAGCATCTAAGAATGAAATTTCAGCTCTTGGAGGACTTTTTTAGTAATTTCAACTATTCTGTATTGATGCAAACAAGAAATGAGTTGAACTCGTAATCTAGTTTGTAGAAGATTAATCTGGATTAGGATTCAACCAAGAAGACCAATGGCATCCTGGCTTGTATCAGGAATGGTGTGAGCAGGACTAGGGGATTAATCCTGCCCTGTACTCGGCATTGGTGAGGCCTCACCTCAAGTACTGTGTTCAGTTTTGGGCTCCTCAGTACGGAAAGGACATTGAGGTGCTGGAGCAGGTCCAAAGAAGGGCAATAGGGCTTGTGAAGGGCTTGGAGAGTATGGCCTACGAGGAGAGACTGAAGGAATTGGGGCTGTTTAGTCTGGGGAAAAGAAGGCTGAGGGGAGACCTTATTGCTCTCTTCCAATATCTGAAAGGTGCTTACAGCAGGAGTAGAGCTGGTCTCTTCTCACTGGTGACAGGATGAGGGGAAATGGCCTCAAGTTGCACCAGGATAAGTTTAGGTTGGATATCAGGAAACACTTCTGTACAGAAAGGGTTGTGAAGCACTGGAATTGGCTCCCCAGGGAGGTGGGTGAGTCACCATCCCTGGATGTGTTTAAAATCCGTTTGGATGTGGTGCTCAGGGACGTGATTTAGCGGAGGGTTGTTGGAGTCAGGGCAGTATGGTGAGGTTGTGGTTGGACTCGATGATCTTTATGTCTTTTCCAACCCGAGGAATCCTATGATTCTACGATTCTGTGATTCTTTGGATTTGATATTTAACTAGCACTTTACTAATTAGAAAGGAACACTTTTCTAATATCAGTCTGATAAGGAGTTGAACAAATAGGAACAGCATCATAATTATGTAGTATCAGTATAGATGACAACATAGACTGAATTGATTGAATTCTCTTTTCTTTAGATGATATCAAAAATAAAAGAAAATGTTGTGGTTATAAAAAGTCATTTGATCAGTCCCAAGCGACACAGAGCTTATTTCAACAAATGTAAGAGCTACACTACACTCAGGTTAGGAAGGAGTAGACACGGTTCTTTCAGAGGACGAAGGGACTGCACTTGATACAAAAGACAGACAACAGCTACCAAATTACAGTCTGACACTGCTGTGCTAATATTTACCAGATTCATCTCAGAAGTATGTAACCGATTCAAAAGCAGACCATTTCCTGAAAGTAATGAAATGAGAATTTTTCCCACTCAATTGGCAAATATTTTTATTGCATGCTGCCATCAGTATGAATTGTGAGGCAACAAGCAGACAGCTACCAAACATAAAATTAATCTAAAAGACTAAAACTGACAGGGGAGTAGAAGTAAGTGGTGGAGGCTCCATTTCAGTGACTGCTGGAAGGAAAACTGTTGTTTTTTTTTTTCCTACCACAAGATTACAAGTGTTTGAAAACTCATAGAATGCATTTAAATATGGTGCCAAGTTGTGTAATTGAGCCAATATTTCAACAAGAAATATCAGAGTTCATCCTTTTATTTAATTTGTTTTCAGTGTTGGGAACTTAAACATTGTTGAACTACTTACCCTTCCAGGGAACTGTCCAGAGACCAGTCAGGAAGTGGATGATGAGCACGTTCAGGTGATGATGTTCTTAATGTAGAGCTTAACTGATACGTGACTGTACGATTCTGGCATCGAAGTTCCTGTACAGCTCGTTCCCTATATAAACATTATTTCATGGTCAGATTAAGCACTTCTAAAAATCAAAGTTATCACACAGTCATTAACTTTTTCTTTGTTCTTTTAACTTTTTTTTTTTCCTTAAATTTTATTTTATATGGAGATGTGGTGCTTGTCACACACTTCTCTAAAAGGCAGGTAACTCTTTCTGTATACTGTTCTTACCGCTAACTTACAGGCTGCACAACAAGATGTAACTTTGCTCTTTCCAAAACAATTCAGGCAACTGTGTTTGAATTATCTTGAAGTAGAAGAGAAATTGTTTTCAAGAACGACAATGGAGGATCTCTGATCCATAGTGAGGCAACACTGATGTATAGACACACTCTAATATTTATCAGGCGAATAAACTATAAATTAAATCTTGGTATTACTGCAACTGTAAACAACTCTGTGAGTAACAAATTATCTTTAATTAGGAGAAGAGCTTAAGTATGGAGGCTGATTCTGCTTTTTGACCATGAACGCCCCAAGAAGTATCAGGGAACAACCAAAAAGCACAGAATGGATGCACTCACACTGGAGAAGTAGGGAAACAACTGCTTAGAGAAGAGCGAGACTATTCTAAAACAAACGTACTGCTACATTAGCATACTATGTGGCTTATTTTGTGCAGCTGAAGAAGTACACATGATGCTACCTTTTTAATTCACTCACACATCTAACCCCAAAGTTCTGCAGTTTTTGCCGTAACTTCAGGGTAAAGGAGAAAACAATTTGAAATTGAAACACATACTGTGACATTTGAGAAATGTATCTTTAAAAGACCTAACCTCAAGTGTAGATGTTTCCCCCTCAAAACTCTCATCCTTATGAGTGAATAGAGTATTAACAAACTAATTTGCTACAATTAAACAAAATACCTGATTCTCAAGCATGCTATAATCACATCACTACTTCTTCTACCAATTTCTTTTGAGTACCTAAAATAATACTTGGCAGTTTTTAACATTTTTAACCTCACTACATCCGTGAAGTAGAAAAATATTGTTATTTTTGTTTCATAAAGAAACTGTTCAAGATACCAAGACTAAATAGATAAGGCAACTAGTAAGACAGGCCTAGGACTGTTCCTTGTACTATGGCTAAACCACATGAAACAATTTGTACCTACTGTTAAACTTTCTCATCCTGCCCATTAAATAAAAACCTAAAAAGGTGATTTTCTTCATATTGCCCCACACAGCACTTGGGAGAGTGCAGACTGTACAGGCTCAAATTGTTTCATTGTGTCAGTACAGACTAATTAGAGACAAGTATGCAACAAGATACCTAGACCTTCACTTGAAGTAAGTGCATGTTCAGGAAAATGTCCATCCCATCCTAAAGCAGGCCGTTTGAGAAGCAAGTTTATTTCGGTGTCTCATTGTGTTGGCAGGCAACTAATGTAGACAGAACACGTAACAGTTTCACACACCATGGCATGAGTAGCCTCTGAACACATAGTAGACGAAGAACAGAGCAAAGCCAAACTTTGCTGTTTATCCTTTTAATCAGACTAAGTCTTAGTACTGCATTGTATTTCATCCCATTTAGATGGAGAAAACATAATACAAAAATATGTACTTGCCTTTCAAACCTCTCAGTTGCCAGCTGTCTTCTAGTGATATCCAATTCTGACTCTAGCTGAGCTGCTGTATTTTTGAGCTGAGTGAAATCTCGACTCTTCACAGTGCTGTAAAGTTCATACGTTTTAATTAGATAGCAGCTATAATCCTCAAGTATGTTACCAAATAGAATTATGCAAAATGAAAAGGGCAGCTATACCATGCAACTGATTCCCTTCTGGAGTAAAACGTGCACAGAAGAGTACTTTAGGTTATAGCTGAGGAATTAGAAGCAGGCTTATGTTATCTTCTGCTATTAAGGTATCCAAGGTACTTTGATCATTTGAAAATGCAGCTAAATAGACATGTGTACACATGCATATCTATGTTTACGTATGCATATATGGAAAGAATTTAAAAACAAAACAAAACTCAACTACAATGTCCTCCTGGTCATTTACTCACAGTTTATTCTCTGCTAAAAAAAGTTGCTCCTTGAGAAGCAGAATTTCGGAGTCTTTCTCTTGCTCTGCTATCTGTGACTGAAATTCTCTCTCACGATTGGACGCAAGCAAAGATTCCAGATTTTTCAGAGATGCTCTTTCATTTTCCAGTTGTCTTCTCAGCAGCTCTATTTCAGAATGGGATGAATCACATTCACTCTGCAGCTAAACAAGGTTTGTAACATTTCAGATGTATGCTTGCTGTGTTCAGTGGTCAGCAGTTAGAGTAATCTTTAAAAATAAAAGAAGTTTAGTATTGATGACCCAAATTTGTTCTTACTCCCAGATGGTTCAACATGGTTGATTACTGTCATATTTGACCTCAATTAAAATCCTGTTTTGGATTTATAAACTTACTCAGTGCATATCTATGAACTTAGGCATACTTGATACAAATAAGAAACTCTATGAAATAGAATCATATAATCACAGAACATCCTGAGTTGGAAGAGATTTCAACTGTTCCTTCTATGCCTTGCCTTCAAGACCCCTTACCACCTTTATAAGCCCTTTTTTGGGTACTTTCTAACAGTTTTATCTCCTTCCTATATTGTGGCACTTAAACCTGCACCCAGTGCTTGAGGTGAGACCTCAGCACAGAACAGAGCACTTTTTTACTTTACAAAGCAAAATCCAAATTATTTGGTCTTAATGAATTAAAATGAGTTTTCCTTATTCTGAAAAGCCAATTTTCCACTGTCAATCAAAACTATAGTTTTCTTGCCTATAAACAGTTCTGATATTCTATTTCTGTATTTCAGAACAAAACAATACTAAAAATCATATAAGCTTTGTTAAAATAAACAGTATTAAAACACTGAAAGAACAATATTATTTTAGCATCAGCATTCAGAATCTTCACTAAACTCTCCAGCTGCATTTCTGTATTTTCCCATCCTGAAACTCTTGCTTCCCTTTACAATCCCAGCAAGCCTCTTCATTGACAATTTCATAAAATAATCACTTCTGTTGCTTCCTAAACCTGTCAAGCATTCTAATGTCCATATCAAGTTTCTTTGCTAATAAACTACTCCAGCTATTCTGTCTATTAAGTGGCTGAATGTGAAATCCAAGCCATCTGTCAAGAAAACAATTAGTAATATTACATCCTGAATTTCAGTACTCGAAGTAAAACTTTGTAAAGCAGTGGTGGTATAGACAGTACAACATCCATTCTCCAGGGAGTATGTTTCTGAGGTATGCTACATTAAACATAAAAAAAAAGAAAGAGCCGCTGATCATCAGTAGAGATTTCTTTGATCATTCTAGATCTGAAAGTAGTTTGAGATCCCTTAAAGTATAACATTAACATAAAATTATTTTTTAAATTTATTTCACATACCCTTTCTACCTTCTCTGATGTAGAAGTTAACTGCTGACTTAACAGTTCTTTGCCTGCATCTAATTTAATGCAAAGTTCTTGCGTAGATACGAGATTTGCAAGTATAGAGACTCTCTCCTGATGTATGTTTTGAAGCTCTCCTTCCATTTTCACAATAGACTTGTGTAAGGTAGAAAGCTGAGACTGGTATGCTTCTTCTGTTGTTAAATGCTATAATAAAGCAATATCAGATAATCAAAAGTGTATTGCAAAGAAATTATAAGACTGCTTCCAAATTCCTACAGAAACATCCTACAAAAATATTGTTGTGATGATTTTTAAGAGGTGGCAGTAGTTTATTCTGGAATAAATTTTAAAGTTATCTCTTTAAATAACTTCTGTATATAAAATAAGTAGAAAAAAGATTCTTGCTTCTGATAGCAAATTCAGCTACCAACATTTTAAACTTCTTAGGATTCTACTCTTTCTTCTGAACTATTAAGATTCAAAATTCTGCCGTGGGCCTTATTTCATTCCCAGATAGAACCTCTTATTTTTAAAATAAAATGTATTCCTGCATGTAGAAGAGCACTGAATGCTCAAATGCTGTCAGCCATGTTCATGTTGCTGTCACCCTGAAACTCAGGCATGATGAAAAGCTGACAGAAGCCACTCTAAAATGAAGTTTACAAAGCCAACAGCAGCAGTTTTGACTAAAAGCACTCTGAATGTTGTGTATTTTACAACAATATAACCTAGATTTTTCCCTTTTGAAAATGCCTGTACCTTAACCAGTCATACCTGTCTTGTATTTCCAACCACTTTTAACCGTTTAATTGTCAATGTGGCTGAGCATGGAAATTTGACAAAGGCAATGAGAGCAAAGAGACAAAGCAACAACTTCCCTGAAAGATTTCTTATAACTGAGATGGAAAAAGATGGTTGTAGGGGGAATACGTTACGTAATTCTAGCTCTTACTTGGCTAAAATAAATAAATTAATTTAAAAAAAAAAAAAAAAAAAAAAAAAAAAGGAAAAGGGCTACATTAAATTACATACATTAAAATTTCTGAACTAAAATTAGTGTGTTTAAGATACATGCCTTAATGTAACTGCTGCGAACCTGAACATGATATCCATCTGCAATTCTGACTGCATTTGTTGACACATGAAGAGGCCTGTTTATTCCTGTAATTAATATTAGACCTGGGAAGGAGGTAGAAAGATAAAACCTCTACCCATTTGAGGCTGGTTAGACAAACTAGGACCACAAGCCAGTTTCATTATATTAAAAATCTGCCACACAGTTGTCCTGTACTCTGTTCTACTATGTTCTCATCCTTCTTTATGAACAGCTGCAGATCAGCTTCTATTGGCTATCTAATGTGCGTGAGAAGCCCTCAATAGCCTCTGCAATATTTAGGAAGCAGAGATGATCCGTGGCAAAAACAGCAACCCCAAACCAGAACACAATTTAAATGTTCAGTTTAAATGTTAAGTCCTTCACATTTTCAAATAGGAAATAAATAGATGTTTGGGACACCTAAACCACTGGAAAGAAGGTTGAAAAGTTGGAAGCAAGAAAAGCAAGGACTGGAATGTACCAGGGGACAAAGCACTCGGTATGTTTCAGGTATGCTGTGGAGTTCTGTGCGAGGTTATGCCCTCCCTCATTTCAAACATGCTGTTTAACTTTTTTCTTTGAACTGTATTATTTTTATTTTATGTACTATTTTTAATTTGTTTTCCCCCAAGTATGACATTCATATGACTGCTCATTACGTTACGAAATAAACCCCATATTCTTCAGTGTAGCAACTATCTCTAAAATTCAAATAGAAGTGGTATAAACTATAATTTTAAACAGCCATAAGCCTAAAATATTACCAGAAAATTTCAAATGTGAACTACAGAAACTAAGATTTCAACTTACTTGCTCCATCTCTGTCTCAAGAGTCTTCATTTTCTCTTTCAACCTGCGGTTCTCAGACTCCGCACTGATTAATGCCAATCTGACAGAGTTACAGTCTTCTTCTGCTTGATGGCACTTTGCTTCCCAACTTTCTCCTTGTTCACGGGCTTTGTGGTAATTCTCCAAAAGCTCACAGTTCTCTCTCTCCTAACACATAAAACTTGTTTAATATTTTACAGTATGCTTCTCAAAATAGGGATATTTACAGTTGTGCAGGTATGACATAGCAGTGGATGTTCTCTTTTTATTGAGAGTCTTGCATTTAGCAAAAACATTGAGAGACTTCTCAGAACAAGCGTTTTGTTCCATATGGCCACGTTGTGATGCACAAGAGACTTCTGTTAAAAATGGCTGAATTAACACCAAAAATGTGAAGTATAGGAATGTATTGCAAACTTTTTTCTGTTAATCCCATACAGTAGCAGAGACAAAAGAGTCCCAAGTTCTTATATTATGCACTGAAGTTTTAAATTCAATGAGCACACACACACACATGCATAAAATGGTGAATATATACTTTGTTACTTGTCTACTGGAAAATCAGCTAAGAAAATACTTTCAAACTATTAAAACTGTAGTAGCTGAACACATATTTGGAAAGATCTTCTATGGAAAGATGGTTGCAATTTCAATTTTAGTTAGAACAGCTTTAATCCACATACTCACTTTAAACTTCAGTACTCCCTTTAGTCTGGCAATATCCGTGTTTGAATCCTGGGCTTTCAACTTCATCTCATCAAGCTCATTCTTATACTTAGTTATTTTCATATGTAGTACCTATGAAGAAAGATTTGTTTAATAAGGCTGAAGTATATTGTTTGTACCTTGACAAAAATAAATAGAATTTGTACATATCTAGAGCATATGCCTTTATTAAGTATATACAAAATATAAGGTATGTGGATTTCTACAAATGAAATTTGGCACATATCAAAAAGATTTACCTTCTTTGACTTTAAAATAATACTAAATCTTAAAATGAAGAAAAACATGAATAGGATTGCAGAAAGGTTTCTGGACAAGTCAATTATTATCTCCCTTTCTTGCAAACTACTGTGAGAACACTCCACTGCAAGAAGCAGTATGTAAGGAAAAACAGATGTAGACTATGGAGAAACACTTGTTCCTGTTGTGAAATGTCCATGAGGTGCTGAGAAAGGTGCTCTGGAATTCTGTGAACTTTTTCAGCCCTACTGAAGAAAGAGGAATACTAATTGAGATGCTTGGACTTTCACCTAAATTAATGGAAAAGCCACAAGTAAAAAATACATATTATAAAGACACATCTATTAAAAATCAGTTGCTCACATGAGGCTAAGATTCTTTTGCTTCTAACTGCTTCTATAAGACTACAGACACATTTCAAAGAAACCATGAAGTTTTTGAAAGTAGCTACAAGCAACAGGTAGCTTTATTTATACCAGCTGACCACATCAGAAACAATGGGGATTATAAAAGATTCTGAATAGAGGAGAGATATAGATGAATAGAGAGATGCCTTTCAGTAATCCATGTTTCTACTGACACTCACTATCTGTCTTTAGTGATTATAGCATTTGAAGAAGAGGAGAAAATCAGGAAATAGAAAAGTATATTCAAAGAAGAAGACATTCTAAGCAGTTGAACAAGTGTAGAAGAGAAAAAACAAGCATGAGAAAAGCTGAATTGAGGCAGAGGTTTTAACAAAAAGAAGAAAAAATAGAACATTATACAATGATGACCTACTGCAAGTACTAAGTCTAATTTCTGGCTGCTTAGAAAACATATTGATGTGTGAACATCAAACGTGTGCATGAGATGAGATTGTAGTCCAGACGTGTATGGGAACCTCTGATTGATCACCTTAGGCAAGCACTGAGTCAGCCACGGGAGCACAGGTAAGGCAATTCACCTGTGCTGCTGGAAGGGGTGGAGCCTGACTCCATGTCTCCTAGACCCATTTAAGAGCTGACTACCATTGCTATTATCTTTTACCCAAGAGCCCCTTTAAAGAATGGTATATACAGTCCTGTTAATAAAGCTATGGACCTTAATAAATGTGTCCTGTGTTCAAATATGTAAACTTGTATATGCTCTGAGCCAGTCGCAGCACTGTACAATAAATAGCTGCTGTCTCCTTTACAGTATTTTTCAATGGAAGTAGCGGTTATAACCACCACAATTATTTTCACAAAAAGACCAGAAACAAGAGTTAAGCAGCTGTTCCAGGAGATAAACATCCAAACCATAACACAAGAGCAACTGAGCTTCTTTATACAGGTGACCTAAACAGGAAGTGACAAAATCAGTTTGAAAAATGAGCGCACCAATTCTATGCACTACCAGAAAAACAATTTTCTTTTTTAGTCAAGATTTCTCTATACGCATATACCTGATTTTCTTGTTTAGCATTAGAAAGATGCTCTTGTAACCTGTCCTTCTCCTGAGCTAACATTTCTCTGTTGTTGTTAGCTTGTGCAAGTTCTTTGTTGGCTTCTTGCAGCTGTTGTTGCAAACTGGTGATATCTTTCTCACAGGTACACAGCGCTTCAGCAGATTTTCTATGTAGCAAATAATAAATACTTCAGGTATGACAATGCTGTTCAACATAGCAAAATGATAGCTTTCCTGTGGTTAAGTTTGCAGATTGCGAAACAAAGCTGTAGCATTTTAATATGTAACAGAGTAGAAAAAAACAATTCTACATTAGCACATCTTAGGATCCCTTTTTTTTTTTTTTTTTTTTTTTTGCATTAATGCTATGCATTAATCAAAACTTAATAACGATCTTGAACTTTTATCCTTACTGTATCGAACGCTCCAAATCGGAAATCAGAATCTTCAAATCTGAAATAGTTTTCTCCTTAAAAAGAAATACAAAATTAAGATAAATTCCTCACACCTCTAATTTCCTTTTACTCAGTTAGCTGATTAATGCAAAACAGATTCTGATTTTCAAAGTTTCATCGTGTACTGTTTAGAGCTCAAAATCCTGATAACCTACTTCGGCAAATAAAGCAACAAATATTATCTTCTGCAGAATGTAACACTTTTAATTAAATTTTTTAATCCTTTGTGGTTTGAATGGTGGCATTTGTCACACACACTCTCAAAAGTAAATATGTCTTCTGTCTGCTAGATAAGTTATCACAGTTCTTCTACAATTAACAGACTACCAGAGTTTGGTAGTTTTTAACTGATAAAACAAAAACTCTGTCACTGTATTTCCGTCAAAAAAACAAAACAAAAAACTAGCACAAACTGTATCAGTTTGTTCCACTGTCTCTGCATACAGATATTATAAGTATAGATAGGCTAAGCAAATGTCTTCTACTGAAAACCCAAGATATATGAGATATAGCCATTGCTTCTGCAAAATAGGCACCATTTACAATTTACAGTCTTTAATATGTGGAGTTATTGTTTATAGCAATATGATTATGGCCTGTCTTGCAATATCCTATTTTCAATGTTATGTTGAAGGTACTGCAACTTCAAGTTAACAATCACTGTATTTGTGAAATACCTCATTTAGTGTGTCCTAAATCAATATCAAGATAACTTAGGCTGAAGAGAAAAACAATGCTTCAGACCTAAGCAGCTTCATTACAGAGATTGAAATCACACTATGCAAAAAACAAAAAAAAACAAAAAAACCAAACCCTGATGCATTTTGCCTAGCTAAACTAATACCTTAAGATGAAAATGATGCCATTCAAATGCAACATCAATGATAAGAAAAGCAGTACTACTTGGCACTGTATCTTTAACATTAATGGGCACTGGGGAAGAATTCAGGCTAGATTTCATAATAAAATACTTTGTTAGCCAATTTACTTTTCTTCACCTAAGGAAAGTAATTAAAGTTTCCTCTCTTGATAAGTATAAGCTATGCAAAAGCCAAACATGAGGGGTCCAACATGGCTCAGACCCACTGCTATTGATGTTAACATGAATTCTACTGTCTTGAAACTGAAACAGGTCAGCACTGAGCTCTGCACTGCAGATAGCATTATAAGAGTGTTATGATGACCCAACAAATCCTCTATTTAATCTCTCATGATTCCATAATTTATTCTGATTTTTCCATGTTAAAACATACTTTAATCTTCAGGTTTTCCTCAAAAGTGACGATCTTCTCTCTTTCTTCTTCCAGGCATTCTTGCAAAGTTTCCTTCTCTTTATCAAGTTGCACAATTGTATCTTTCAATGCACAGATCTTCTCTTCTTGTGCAGAACTTTGTTTTGAAAAGTCATCTGAACGCAATCAGAAAGGTCTTGTTTTTATAAATTCAAATCATTCAAGATAAAAACTATTTTGATACACTTCTGAAGCATAAAAGAACATTACAGAAGTTTTCCTTCAAGAAAATACTGAGGCAAGTGTGTTTTCAGAAACACAGGTAATCCCAGTGATACTTGTAGAACTGCATTCTTCTTTCAAGGACTTACTTGGCTCAAAAAATATATATATATCTATCCTTAAATGGCTAATGTATAGATAATTCAAATAATTTTAGTGGGCATTGTAAAAATAAATGGCTTAAATAGAATTACAGTAGACAGAAGGCACATGAAGGCTACAACCTGGAAAGGCTCCCATGAAATAAGAGATAAATATCCCAATATTAGACAGTTTTCAGAAACAGTGCTTTATTTACATGAACTTTGTGTACAAGAGGTTTAAAAAACCTCATTTACAAAATCCAAGGTCACCTAAGAAGTTCAAAGCTATTAATGAAAAAAAGTAGTTATCTACTTATTAGAAAGTGAAATTTGAAAAGATCTCTTTCCCTGCCTGTCTTCATTGAGCTAACAAAATGCTATGCACTGCATTTACCTTTAAGTGGTCAGATAATCAATCCTTATTTGAGGTGCATACACTGCATTCTCAGGGGAAAACTACAGGAATTCTTGTTACAGTGAAATTTACATCTCATAAAGAATATGCAGGTTGCAAATTGCTTCACAAACGTCAGTGTAACTGGAGGCTCCCAATGATGCTTATTAACTACTTCCAGGAGATAAACCATTCAAAGTAAAATCATATGTGGCCCAGTCTTTTAAAGACATCGTTCCCATATATCCACCTTCCAGTCTTTTTCCACAAACTCTCCCTATTGTAATACATGAGATGGCAGACACTCGGATTTCCACATCCTTATGAGTCTAGACTGCAACATGCTTCGGTCAGATGGTTGGAGGTCTTAGATGTGAGATTCTGAAAAGTCTCCTTTCAGCTTTCAGAACTAAAAGGCTTAACATATGCTTAGTTTGGACACATTTCCTGGGAATGATTTAAACATGCAATAATACATAGGCAGATGCCCCTATTAAGCCAGTACTTCACTACATCAGGGAGCTAAACTTTTTAACATGATATATAGATTTTAATGTGGACAAAATATCTTTTTTCCTAGGTTTCTCAGCAGTGGCTTAAACACTTTAGCCAAAGCATTCAAAAATTTAAATTTGCTTTGAATGAGATGCTTATTCAAGTTTTAGAGGCTTAGAGCTGAGTAACTGGAGTTTCAAAGTTGTAAGTAATGAAGGAGAAGATATTTTAATAGCTGTATTTTCCATTCACAAATTCACCACTTCATTTAACAGTACATCATGTCAACTGTATCTACAGAACAAAATAAGACTTCAGACACAACGCATTTGTATTTCTGGAAGCGGTAACTCATTAATTGGCACACTAGAAATAATTTCTGTATCCACTTCCTTCAATCCCTTAACAGAAAAAAGTTACAACATTTCATATAGAACGTAATCTACAGAAGATGCTTTCCTCATTACGTCATCATCTGCTGATGCTGAGGGATACAGTCACCAGCTTAGTGGATCATAAATGCAACTGATGGGCTCAGACCCAGCATGTTAATACCAACATCCATCGTTGGGACAACAATATGCATAGCAATCAAAATTTAGTTGCAACAGCTTTATTTATATAATTTTAAAATGCAAAAACCTTCCAACAATGAAAGAAAATGGACTTTGTGCATGAAGCATTAAAACTACCAGATGTCTATTTATTTTCAAGAATTTTGTTCTTTCTACATGATAGAAACAAAAGAAAAAGCTGAAACATTATTATCCAATGGAATTTTATTAGAAAAATCATATCTATCACTCACCAATTTTTTCATCCAGAAGCTTAATTTTCTCTTCATTAAGTTGAATTTCATATTTTTTCTTAGTAAGACTTCGCTGTGCCTCTGAAAGAATCTGCTCTGTCTTTTCCTTCATTAGACTAAAAAAGAGAATTCAGATATTAGAGGACTTAATTCCTTTTTGAAATGCCACAAGTGAAGTAAAAGCAAGATACTTCTGTTTATCTTAGACTATTGAAGATATTTTATCAATGTTAGCCTTAATCTCTAGATATTAAGGTCTGAATACTACTATAAAGAATCACAGGAAAATAAGAATTTTTTACAACAGAGAGACCAAAAAATTGTTAGAAATAATTATAAGAAAAATCTTTACTTAAAATACACACTGGAATGCTTGACCTATTTTAAGTTATACCTTACCAGTAGCAACTAATCTTCAAGAACTCAGCTTTTATAGTGTTCATAAATCTGACAACTTGTAAAAAACAGCAGCAATGCCGGACACGTTTTGACAAAGGAGTTTGTGTTACTTCAGAAACTGCAGTATTCTTGGAAAGGTATTGTGGAACAGCACATCATTCCCACCAATTAAAATCAAACAAAAGAAAAAAATTACATCAGCTATTCATCACCTGCACCAGCCACTGTTAATGACACGTGGGTTTAGGAGAGCATTTGCCTGACTGAATTACAGCTTACAAATTGTCGTGGTTTTATGATTTTTCAGTATTCCACATTGTAACATCATGTAGTTGTTACACTGTTGGAACATTCACAGGTGTAGAAGTAGAAAAGTCACAGTATCTTCTGCTGCAGTCTGTTCATCCTGTAACGTACTTCAGCATATGACCTATACCTTCTTATCTCTGCTCAAATTTCTCATGTGCTTAACCTCCCTCTCCAGTCAGTAAGTAGTCCTTTTCATCATGAACTCAATGACCTATGCTTTCTTCCCTACAGCTTTACTCAAGTCTAGTCCCACTGTATGTTTCTGAATGCTGTTAGGAACTCCAGTCGAGCAGCAGTGGAGTTCAAAACCTCCATGCAAGGCTTCAGTTTTATTTCTGCTCCTGAAAAAACTGCAGGACTAAGAAATGGATGTTTGAAACTAACTGAACACATGACACTCATTAGTTTGTGTTTATTTGCTTGCCTTTTTAAGAACAACAGCATCAAAGGAAAATGATTTTTATGTATTTGTAATTAAAACATAATTCTTCAAAATACATCAGTCACTACAGTTTCTAATAGCAAGTTCCTAACCCAAGCCACTTTGCTTTCCCACTGAAAATGGTTTTCTTTACATCATAGTAACAGCAAATCAACATTTTACATATAAATAAGCAATGAGGAAAAACATTTAATTCCAAAACAGAAAGATGTCTCACGAGCACAACTGTCATAAGTTCTCTTCCCTTTGAGCTAAATGTAACCCAAAAGCCAAGGCTGACATTACTTGAACTGATGCAGTTATATACTTCCACTGACCTCAGTGAAATACATTCATCCTTCTGGTGGCTTAGCTCATTCTCAGAGTCCTGGCATCTTCTTGACATTATTTTTACCTCTGTTTCCAGAGAATCGATGTGTTCTTTCATTAGAGCCATTCTGGACATCTGCTCTAACCGTTCACTATCTAACTATAAATATAATTAAACATTAATTAAACAGGAAAATCTGGAATAAAAAGCTGATTTACATATAGATACTCACCTATTTACTCAAATTCTACTCTATTTTTAAGACAAATCTTTCACTGAAGGAGAAATTTCCAAGTTTACTCAGAACCTCGCAGGACTAAAAGCTGAAATTTGAAGTACAGTATCTGTCTTTAGATCCCTGGAGTATTTTGATTTATTTATGTAAAATGTTGTCTTGGTAATTAGGTGGAAGGATAAAAATGTTTGGTATTGGTCATCCTTAAAATTTTCAGTCACAGAAAATGCCTCTGTGCCTTTATGAATGGAGAAACCTCAGTTTCAGATGCAACAACACCAATGATGGGTTTAGGTCTCTGTTAAGGTACAAAGCTATGCTGATAACTGGGCAGAGAAGTCACTCTAGAACACTTCCATTACGCACCCTATGGCCAAGAGAGCACCATGAGGCCTTTAAGTCTGTACCTAGAACAATGACAGAGCTGTCACAGAAAATCTTCCTTAGGTTCCTGCAAAGTTAGTCTGGAATGTCTAGTTTAAGGAAATCTGTATTTGATTACTAAAACATTCATACTTCACATTCAAAGTACTTTCCTTTCTAAATTATCTGAAACAGTTCTTTTCAGGTAAAAATTTCTCACGTCATGCCTCTTCCTATTTACTAATTCTTTAAGGACTAGTTGCTGTGTTACTACAATAAAGGTCAGATTGCTGAAGATCAAGTCAATTAGAGCTTGGTATACAGTGACTTTCTCAATATTAGTGCCATAAATTTCATACTGAAGTATATCACCCTCAAAGGGGATCAAATAACCAAAGAAATGAGACAAATACTTTCCTGATACTCACAATGCTTCATGCATCGAGCATATGATTAAAGCTGATCTGCCACTCCGAGCAGTCAGTGGATTCTTCATTACAAATACATTCAATTTAATATTTTAATTCTTAGAACTGTACTTACAAGCTTGGTACAATTTAAAAGGCTGAAAGGGAGAAGTGAAAGTGAAATAAAATCTATAACCACAAGATCTAGAAGAAAGAGGCACTACATAAATCAATGCTTATCTATTTTAAATCAGGTTTTACTAAGACTGTATATACACTCAAGAGAACTGTATTTATTTTATTAATGCTTTCATTTTCTGTATCTAATAGCTAACAACTGTACATATAAATAATTTCTGTTGGAGATAAAGTATAATTTCATTTTCTTTTGTGGAGTATCAAGTCTTAGTAACATGCAACCATACGACAATCCAGGTTGGAAGGCAGTCTCCAGTTTAAAGCCCTGGACAAAGTAGCTCTGAGACCAGCTTGCTCAGGGTTTTATTCAATCAGGTCTTGAAAATCTCAAAGGCTGAAGACTGCTTCACTGCTGACAGCCCTCATGGGGAAAAAGTGCTTCCTGGTATTCAGACTGAACACTGCTTGTTCCAATTTATGACCATTGCTTCTCATTCTTCCACCATGCACAGCTGTGAAGTCTTTCTCTGACTAAATGGTGAGTACTGGCAGGTAGCACTTGGTCCCTCCTGAAGCCACTCAGCTCCAGGCTGAGCAAGTCCAGCTGCCCCAGCCTCCTCACACAGGGCAAGTGCTCCAGCCCTGACTGTCTTTGGAGCCCTCTCAGAAAAGTCACACCAGTTTGGCAATTTTTTCTTGTATTAGATAGCAAAACTGGATGCAGTATTCCAGGTGAGATCTAACATGCTTTCAGTAGGATGGGACAATCACTTCCATTAAGCTACTGGCTGTATCCTCTTCACAAAGCCTACTACACTCTTAGCCTTCTTTGCTGTCATTGTACACTGCTGGCTCATGCATAGCTCTGCTGTGATCCAGGACCTCCAAGGTTATTTTAGCAGAGTTGCTCCCAAACCCGTTAGTCCCCAGCTTGTATTAGTGCCAGGGATTTTTCTTCCCAAATTCAGGCCTTGGCATCAATCCTTGTTTCATGAGAATTTTTGCACAAGGTTACAGCTGGCCATTCCTTGCCCCTGTCCCTTGAGTATATCAACTAAGAGCCCTGCTCTTGGGTATATCAACTATTTTCCCCAATTTGGGGAAATCTGCAACCTTTATGCTGCCTCTTGCAGGTCACTGAGAAAGACCTCAAAAAGAACAGGCCTCACAACAGTCCCATGTTGTGATCCACGATCCATGCTACCAGCCTCCACTGTGAGCCAGACCATCCAGATTTTTTCTATCTAACTGCTCATCCACCCAGACCCCAACCCCTCACCTGGATACAAAGACACTTTGGGTAACAGTATCAGAAGTTTTGCGGCGATCTAGGCAAATAACATCCACTATTCCCCTTCATTTCTTCAAGGCATTCAGATTGGTCCCACAGTATAAAAACCATTAAGTATCACCCTTATTACATTTACAATTATTTAAATAATTACTCGCCTTACATTTTGAATAGTAGTTTCTAGCTCTTCAATTCTCTGCTGCAAATGAGCTTTTTCATTAAATGCAGTCTCTTGGGAAATCTGTGTCAAATAACAAAATCACACATAAAATAAACCTTAACTCACCACAGACAGATAATGCAATTAACTTTCAGTACCAGAATAAAAATCTTTGGCAACTCTAACTCCAATACTAAGTAACCTTTGTGTTAAAATAAGCTTGAGTGAAAAAAAAAACTTAAACCTTCAGCTGCTTCCTGAGACTGTCATGTTCTGCAGTCATCCTTCGTAATTGTGACAGTGCTGTATCCCTTTCCGTCTCCACATGCCTTAGCATTGCTTGAGCTGCCACAGTACTTCTTGGAGCCCTGGTGCATTTGATGACTTCCTGACGAAGCTGGGAAATCTCTTCCTGGGCCTGTTTTTTAAAAACAGCAGTATAGCAGAAATATGGAAATAACATAACGTATTCCTGCATATGTAAAACAGGGACTCGTTAGAGAATTTCAGTTGGCATTGCTCAATTGAAGGAATAGATTTACATTCTATAAAGCAATCATCAGTGAAAAAGAAATATACATTATCTTTTAGTAGGCCAAATAACAACACATTACAGTAGCACATCACAGCAGATTTAGTTTTGAGCAATGAAAAAGGTTCATTGAAGAGAATAAGAGCAAAGGTCTCAACCAGTAACGCTCATGAGACTTTTCAGTAATACTTATAAATCAAACTATTTCAGTCTTCAGCAAAACTATTTGTTTGATATTTTAGAAGTGTAAACTACAGCGTGCAAAAAAAAAAATAATAATAATAATCTAGTGTGAACTATGTTTAGTAAAAAGGCATTACTGATAATGCAGAGCATGCCAGAAACCACACAATGTCAAAAATGAAACAATGACTGATGTGTATATGCCTCCTCTCAGGAAAGCATTCCTAATTCAGGACAGCACTTACAGTCTTGTATTTAAATGACAAATTCAGAACTGACAGAACTTCAAAAAAATTCTTTAAATTAGTATTCTATAGTTTTAGTCTTAAGTTGTTTTTTTCTTTCATTTTAAACAGAAAAATCGTTTTTATTTTCTTTTACATCACGGAATCACGGAATTGAGGGGCTGGAAGGGAGCCCCTCCAGAGATCACTGAGTCCAACTCCCCTGCCAAAGCAGGCTTCCTACATCAAGCTGCACAGGTAGACACCCAGGTGGGTCTTGAATATCTCCAGAGAAGGAGACCCACAGCCTCTCTGGGCAGCCTGTTCCAGCTCTCTGTCACTCTCATTGCAAATAAGTTCTTATAGGCATTTGTGCAAAACTTCCTGTGCCTCACTTTGTGGCCCTTTTCCTATCACCACGTATCACTGGAAAGAGTCCCTTTGCCTCCTGCACCTTACTTCTTTATAGACATCAATCAGATCCCCCTCAGTTTTCCTTTCTCAAAGCTGAACAGACCCAGATCGCTCAGCCTTTCCTCATAAGAGAGGTGCTCCAGGTGCTTTATCACCTTTGTGGCCCTCATCTTTGCCACCCTGAGTTATTTTGCTTAACCATCACAGCTGTTCAAACTTGGAAATTTCCCTGAATTTCTGCCACATGGCATTTGTATTTTTTCAGTGTTGACTCAAGTTCTTCACGTTCTCTCAATATTTTCAAAACATCTGGATCAGAACTCAATCCTTTAAATAATAATGCCATGTAAAATTAAAGCAGAAAATTTAAATTTGAGGTGCATTCTTACGTCTGCATTGGAAATTTCCATAAAGGGTAAGATTTGCCTTCAACCCAAGAACCTGTAGACAAACAAAACCATACTCACATAATTCTCAGTATTAGAGAACAGATATAAGCACTGTTCTAGAAAATAAATTTTATTTTGAACAGCAAATGTGTATCACAAATGGCACTGACATACAGTTGAAGAAATAATCCATATGTAACCAGCTGCAAATAGCCTCTGAAAACGATACATTTACATTGTGTGTGAAGCACCAGTTAACTTCATGTTATTTGTTTGTTCCCATCATATGCATCCTTTTGTTTATAATTAGTTTTCTTTAGTATAGCTTTGGTCAGTTGCCATTAGATAAACCAATCCTTACAAAGAAGGCACTCCTCCTGTTGCAAAGTGTTTTCCAAGCTCACCTGGACGTGTGATTTTTTTTTGGACATGCTGTCCCAAGTAGAGCCACGCTTAGGACTTGAAGATGCGTTTCGAAACACCCTCAGCAAATTCTCAGTCTTGCTTTTATAGTAGTCTCTGTCCTCTTCCAGTGTCTTAATAAATGTATCAAGCCTTGAAGGTGATTTCCCTTGCCTTATTTCATTCTCTGTTTGCAGAATAGCCTGCATGTGCAAACATAAGATGATGGACTCATTGAAACAGAACTTTTCTAGAGAAAAACACCTCAGTGTGAAATGGACAAACATACTGTTCAGAATGAAGTGGAAGCAGATATCTACTTAAAAATAAATATCTATTTAATATTTTAAAGTGACTTTCTGAATGTCTGCATTTTTCTTTTGGTTAAATTGTTCTCAAATTCCAACTTCTCTGCTGGAGACTCACTATCTTCCATGGTAACTGAGCAGCAAGATTGCATGGCCAATTTGGGGTTTTTTTGTTATGGTTGTTTTGTTTTCTATTGAATGTTTGTTTGTTTGAGTGAGGTTTTTTTGTAGGATTGTGGTATAAACTCAAATGTTTTGTACAAGAAAGTAGTATTCAATTCCTTTCCTCTACACTCTCTTCAGCACTGCCAGAACTAAAATTTGAGACAAATCTTCAAATTACATAAATTAAATACGATTTTGACAACCAAAAAACCCTCCCCTCTATAAAAACATACTTATGAATCCTTTTAATATATTCAAGTAATAATTTGATAAGTTGTATCTATTACTAGCAAATATTTTTACAACATGGTAGACACTTCTAAATGTTCCAACAGCACAACATCTTAAGCCAGACAGACTAACAAAGTAAAAACGTCAAAGAAAAATATTGCTTCTTTCTGTTTCATAAATGATTTGCAAATTACTGAAAGCAGTTCAATGCTGTTTTGTATTAAAAAAAAAAAAGCCATTAAGATTCTCTAAAGCAAAATCATTGCAGGTTAGCTGCAAAACAGAAACGGCTTCCCATCCATCCAGCAACAGCATAACAAATGAGAACAGACAATTTTATCTATTCTATTCTGTAACTTGCCTGTTATCAGTGAAACAAAGCAAATGAAATTACTTTGTTGAAGCATTAATTTAATGTGGAAATTAACCAATTTCATAGCTACGTATGTATTAAGAATACATGTTTAACTCACAGATTTCAGTGTTTTCACCGTGTGTTCCAGCTTCTTTATGCTGTTCTGCTGGCGTCGAACTTGAGTCTACCATAAAAATTTGAAAGAGATGCATTCATCTTTTACATTCTCTAGTGCAAATCTGACATTTTATCTCAACTCTTCTAGTCCAAAGGAACATTTTGTACACGCTGTCTAATTTGACTAGGCTGAAAACATGCTGTTATGTATCAACAATACATTTAATCTAGAAGGGAATCAGTTAAAAGTCTTATCTTTTAGTGCAGTCCAGGGTTCAGAAAAACAGTAACAGTCAAAAAATCCCAGGTCAAAAAATGAAAAAGGAAGCATAGAATACCTTTTCCCAGAATTATTTTACCAGGAAACTTTCAAATTCAGGGACAATCTGACAATACTTATCAGCTAAAGAATTAAGTGCGTAGTTACATTAATGGCAAACAAATATCCTTTCTGCCATCTGAACACTACATTAAACAATGCTATTATTTTATTATTAATTGCATGTCCATAAAATACAATTTGCTTCTATTCTATGAAATCAACTGCAATCTGCAATGAAATCGCATTCTTTCTGACTGCAAATGTGATTTTAATCCTTGAACCATTTCTCACTTGAGTGAGAAATGGCCATCATAGTGGCCAGAACCTACTCTTTCCTCATCCTACCAAATGTACTTGAAAGCAGGGATGAAAGCTAAGATTTCAGCTCAAAGGGTAAAAACAAAAAAATATCAGTTCCCCATAACAGTAGAAAATAACATTAAAATATCACCATGTAACATCAATCCCAAGAAGATACCTTTGCTTCTTCTAGCTCCTTATCAGTGGTGTTCAGTAACAACTCGTTTTCCTTTTCCAGCTGCTCAGATAGTTTGGCAATTACAGCAAGTTCTTTACACAGGTGATCATTTTTACAGGTCAAACTATCCACTTGTCTTTCAACCACTTGCTTCTTATTAAGCAGTTGTAGGACATGTTGCCTTAAGTCTTGGTTTATTTTCTTCAGATTTTCAGCCTATGAGGACAAGGAGGAATAAAATATTTTACTACGTCTTCAGGGATCTGCAGGGAAAATTTCAACAGAAAAGGCCTGCTCTCAAGTTTCCGACAGCCGGACTTACCGTGGTTCTTCTAGACTTAAGGAAAGCCCTTCAATCATCCTCTTTGAAATGGACCCACAACCTTCATACATAGTGAAGGCCAACAGAAATGTAGCAGATCAATTACTACTATTAGTTCGAAAATTAAGAAATACAGGAATAAAGCTTTCTGGATGGGTGTCTCCTGTGACATTTTGTAGCTTTTCATTTTACTGCTTCTGTTCAAAGGCTATGCAAATATATTGATAAAACTGATGATCCCTTAAAGCCTTAGAGACTCAAAACCCAATACCACACTATTAACAAATTTGCATCACCAACAAAAATCATAAATTACAAAAAAAATGTTGTAATGTTGTTTCTATCATGCCTTCGCACTCTACTGTTCACAACAGCCTGTTCCAGCAACATAAACCAGGGAGAAGAACAGTACCAGTTATTTACTTCCTAGCCACAAAAGGATGGAGAAACGTATTTTCTGTATTTTTGATGTAACAAAATAAAAGAAATACATGTTAATAGGAAACATGGGCATGTATCTCCATCTACCAGCATCTCCTCAAACACAGAGCATGGCCAGAAACATTTGTAATCAAACTGTGCAGAACACAGGGATATGAAGCTAGTTATCATCAGCTCTCTAGTGCTGCAGCCTATGATTCCTCAGAAAACAACAAAGACTTTGGAATAAAAGAAGGGAGAGAAAGATAGACTGCTCTCTGGCAACTTTCTAAGAATAACCATGATAAAGTAAGGTCACTGGAGCAAGTCAGTGAGACATGAAAGAGCTAATGAGACAGGGACAGTGACGAGCACACCAGTGCCTGGCAGTGCTATTCAATACCTGCCATCCTGCTGCAACTCTAACGTATAAAGAAGCCCACAGATCTAACAACAGAAGACAAACAACTGTTCACCAGCACAAAGTTCACAACAGCTTCTGCCCCTACTTACGTTCAGGAGTCTCCAGGGAATATGGGCAGCTGTGTGACCTCGTTACCATTTAAAATCTCATCTGAATCAAATGTCAGTCACCAACTATCAGTGTGACTATTAGCCTCAAAGTGTTTTAAGCAACAATCTAAGTGATGGCTTTGTTACAGAGTGAGATACAGCGGACTTCATCTGGAGTACCTACAAAGAGAATTCTAAAATGGAATTTTCACTATCTATTTTAATTGGTCATCCTATTATCAATCGTGCCCTAGGAATACCTGTTTCTTTTCCCCAGGAGTGAGGATAGCTTGGAGATCTCTATAACAGCCATCATCTCCACAGACGTGTCAAACTAGACAAGATGGATCCAACCCTAATATTCTGTTCTCCTTAAAAGACAAAAAACAACTTTGCTAGTCTTTCCAGAAAAGGAAGAGGAAAAGATTAGTGATTTGCAAGTTCTTAGTAACTCAGTATCTCACTCAATTTTACAGATAGAATGTGTGGCATTTGGTTCCTCACAATACTACTTTTACTCAACTTGTGGAAAAGGAACCTTTTGGAGAAAAAAAAAAGATTTTTTTATTTCCTAAAATAACTGATATTTGTGCTTGTCATAAAGCAGTACAATTTAACTACCACTATCCTGCCACCTTCCTCTGAAGTGTGGCAAAGCTTCATGCAACACTAAACGATACCTGCACCAGGCCTTACAACATGACCAGAAGTAGGCAATTAGATGGTAAAAGTTTATTCATGAAAGCCAGCAACAAAATCTGTGGGACCCAACCACAGGCATGCACAACCAAATCTCAACTGTTTACATTCAGTTATTTAATTCAGAAAGATCTACAGGAGCAACTGAATATCCCGAACATACTCAGATCCTTCTTCACATTTTGAAGGTCCTCCTTCACAAATCCATGGCTACCCTCCATCACCCTTTTGTCTTTAATATATTTCAAAATGCTTTCCACGATTATTTGCTCTGTATCTTGCTAGTGATAGGGACTGACCAGCCTGTAACAGTTCTCCAGAACCTCTTGTCCACCCTTTTTGAAAGCACGAGATGAGATGCATCCAGCTAGGTCCCATGAACTAGCATTTATCCAGATAGTTTAAATGTTCCCCAATCTGATCTTCTTTCATTAAGGAAAAGTCTTCCTCGCTCCACAATTTTCCGTCAGTCCCAGAGACCTGACATTCCTGAATGAAGGTCTTTCCAGTAAAGACAGAGGCAGAGAAGGCATTGAGTACTTCAGACTTTTTAGTGTCCTTTGTCACCAAGTCACCCACGCCATACAACAGTGAGCACATTTTCTATAGCTTCCTTAGGCTAATGTGTCTGTGAAAGTCTGTGAAAGCCCTTCTCCTTGCCCTCCATATCCCTCATCAGATTCAGCACCAGATGGGCTTTGATTTTCTTAACTCCATCTTTGAATGCTTAGAGAGCATCTCTATACACCTCTCTGGTGTACAGAGATCCCTCTTTCACCTCTTTTATGCTTCCTTTTTTTTTTTTTTTAAATGTACGTTTCAGATTTGTCAGGAGCTCCCTGCTTATCCATAAGCCCTCCTGCCCCCTTGCCTGATTTCCTGTTCATATACATGGAGCTCGGAACAGGCAAGAATTGAAAATCAACAACTCTCCTGGACCACTCATACGAAGAACAAGTTACCAGGGGAGTTTTCCAATCTGACCTTGGAATAAGTCGAAGTCTTTTTAAATTTAGATTTTGATTCTTCTTTTTGCCCAGTTCCTGCCTCTCACAACCCTAAAGTTAACCATCTTGTGGTCACACAGAGACACAGAACTGTAGGAATCGGAAGGGACCTCTGGAAATCAAGTCCACCCCCCTTTCTAAAGCAGGTTCCCTACAGTAGATGGCACAGGAAAGTGTCCAGATTAGTCCTGAATATCTCCAGAGAAGGAGACTAGACTGTGGTCACCGTAGTTAAATCTGCACTGAAGTCAATCTTCACATCTTGTACCAGTTCCTCCTTGCCTGTAAGCAGAGAGCCACTCTGCATGGGCTTCTCTATCTCCTAGATCAGGAATTTTTAATCACTACATTTCAGAAAACTCCAGGACTGCTCATGGCCTGCTGTGCTGTTCCTTCAGCAGACGTCAAGGCAGTTACAGTCTGCCATGAGCACCAGGACCTGCAAACATGAGGCTTCTTCCAGTAGCCCAATGAGCAGCCTAATGGCCAACCCTCCAAAGCTGGGCTGCTCCACGAAGTATTATTTAACAAATGCTTGAAGGTGAATATTACTGACTGAGTAAAAACAGAACTAGTATTTCCAAAGCCTTAAATTGGTTTTGTATTGCAAAATATGTTTCCTTAAAAAGAAAAAAAAGTACGTGTGAGTTTACATATAAAATTAAAGCAGTGCGGCATGCACATGGATTTTACTCTTGACTACTGAGCTCGGACGTTTCATTGCACTGCACCGAGTGCATAGGAATAAGCATAGAGCAAATACAATGGGACACAGTCGGACACCACAAAACTCAAAGCGATCATGAGAAAACCGACCGCATCCCTAAAGGAACAGGGAGTACCCCCAGCCTCTCCAGGGCTCCCTCCAGCCGGCAAGGTGCCACCAACCGGCTCTGGCACTGCTCTGCCCTCTGCCCTCCGCCCTCCGCCCTCCACCAACCATCGCCCCGGCCGCCCCACGTACGCCTCTCCCGGGTCGCGCCGGGCTCGCGCTGAAGCGAGCCCCGCCGGGTGTCTACCTTGGGGCGAGCCTCCGCCCTCCCCCTCCGGCGTCCCGGGGACCGCCGGGTGCTCATGGTGGCTGCCCGGGCGGCGTGAAGCGCCCGCTACTCTCGCTCCCAGCCCCGGGCGCTCACCCGCGGCCCAATGGCGAGCTCCCGGCAGCGCCCCTTCCCTCCCCGCCGCGGGGCGGTGGCCGCCGCGCCCCAACGGCCGCGTTCCCTGGTGCCCGGCAACGGCCGGCTCCCAGCCGCCCCTCAGCGCTGTGCCAGACGGTCTCGGCAACAATCCTGGATTTCGGTCTTGCTGATTTTGGTACGCTGGAAATCATGAGAGGAGACTGTGCATTACCGTATCTCATAGAATCACAGTATGGTCTGGGTTGAAAAGAACACAATGATCATCTGGTTTCAACCCCCTGCTATGTGCAGGGTGGCCAACCACCAGACCAGCTGCCCAGAGCCACATCCAGCCTGGCCTTGAATGCCTCCAGGGATGGGGCATCCACAGCCTCCTTGGGCAACCTGTTCCAGTGTGTCACCACCCTCTGTGTGAAAAACTTCCTCCTAATATCTAACCTGAACCTCCCCTGTCTCAGTTTAAAACCATTCCCCCTTGTCCTATCACTATCCACCCTCGTAAAAAGCCATTCTCCCTCCTATTTAAAAGTTCCCTTCAAATACTGGAAGGCCAAAATGAGGTCTCCCCAGAGCCTTTTCCAAGCTAAACAAGCCCAGTTCCCTCAACCTTTCTTCATTTTTATTTCCAAGAGAGATGTGAAAAGACAGCATTTCAGGTTCTAGGAAAACTCTTTTCCGTGAACACTCATTTTAGGAATGAAGTTATGTTGATTTTGTTCTTGTACGTGTATGGTTTTCTTTAAGTTATATAAAGTGGCCTCTCATATGTTGATATCAGGGCCACAGGACTTGAAGCCACAGCAGCAACAGCCTGAGTGTGACTTATTTACTTTCCATGAAAAAAACAACGACCCCTAGTAGTTACACTGTTAAGATGTCACAGAAAATGCAAAAATCTCTGGAGTTGGATGTGTCACATTTCTGGAAACTTTTCAAAGCCTGTGATTCAAGACTGTGCAGCAGAGTCAGAGTATCTGGAGTGCCACTTCCTGTGGCACAACTGGCCAATTGGACATTTAAAGTCAAGTCTTGAAAGGTGTTAGTGGAGCCCACAGGGAAGATGGCATTACTGCTGCTTTGCTCAACCTCTCTTCTACTAATGCAAGCCTTCTTCCTGCTCATGCCTCAAGCACATTTTTATGCATAATTCAACTTCTGCTAGAGCATATGAAGAAAGAACTACATCCTCTTTGGGTTGTCACTCTCGGCTCTGAGAAAATTAACATCAGTTATACAGTTGGCTATTTGCCTCACACAGCAGAGTGCACATTGGGTTTGGGATTTCTGCACCCAAAGGTTAATTCCAGAGCTGCACTCCTGACAGGAATTTGGGAATCATGTCACTAAGCAGTTTGTGCTGGATCCTACCACAGAGTGAATCTATATTCTGAGATTTTATTCACTTATTGGGATCTTCTGCTGGATTACAATGCAGTATAATCCAGTTCATAAATCTGTACTTATTGTATATTACTAGAATATGTCTAATGATCTCAGTGGGTTTGTCTTTAAAAATAGCCACTTTTCAGGAAAGGTACTTGCAGCTGAATATGCATTTTATCTATCAGCATATAAGAAACAGAGCCAAGACATTTTTAACTGTCCACCTTAGTGTTCTGCACATTTTACTTTTCTAGCACATTCTGCTTCTAATTAAGGAAAGGAGAATTGCTTTGGTCAGGCTTTCAGCTTGAAAAACACCTAACAGCTCACAGTACGTTTTTACTGACACCCGGTGGCAAACTGTAGAAATACACAGCAAATTTCCATGAGCCAAATGGTAAACGGGAAACAAATACTCCAGAGTATGGTTTGTTTTTTAGTAACGTCAGCAGTCCCAGAGGATGCACTGCATTTCCTCTGAGCAGCATTCACTTTTGCATTCTACCAACTACCTCAAACACTGACTAATTCGTGGAGCATCAACACATTTTTATGGACAAAATCCACATGCTTTTTATCCAGTGCATTTCAGAACACTTTGCCCTAGCAGAAAGCTGCTATCACAAAACTAATTTACCTTAAATGCAATAAAACAACATGCTAAGTGCTAGGACACACATCAAGTCATGCTCCTTTTAGAGTCACTCAACAACCACCACCAGCACTCCCATGTAAGTGTTTCTTACGCTTTGCTTGCACTACTACAACTACTACTACACCTATTTAAGACCTTGGTTAAGAAATGTTCTTGCTCTGAATGATCTATTTCTGCAGTATGAAACAACCTCAAGCTCACATTGTTAATCTTGGTAGCCTCTTGTCTTTTGTCTGCATTTTTTTCTTTCACTTTGCAGGGAATATAGTTATTGTACAACTATCTATTTAATCAGCGATAAAGGCAATTCAAGCTCCATTATTATCAGTTCTGTTGGTAAAATGAACACACAAGGGATGCTCTGAAAGTAATGCCTGCCGTTTTGTGATGTTGACCTATGACATCAGAGGCGGATGTTGGTGGGATGGCAGTAGAGGTTGAACCTTTCCACCAACATCTCATTACATTTTGTTGCCATGTGACAGATGGCAGCAGAGAGGCAGTCTGACACAATGGTGTCTGACATGGATGAAGTGGATGAAGCAAAGGTGGATCGCTGAATTCCTCCATGCAGAAAAAAATGGTACTCATTGAAATTCACTGACACTTGCTGAATGTTAATGGAGACCAAACAGTGGATGTGAGCACAATGAGGTGGTGCATTTCAGCAGTGGTGACAGTGACAGTGGGCCACGTCCACTGCTGCATTTTGTTACAGGCATGACAGGTAGGCACTTGTTCATCACTGCAAAAACGCATAGCAAATGGTGGTGGCTATGTTGAAGCACAGTGTTTTGTAGCTGGGAATTTGCTCTATCAAACAGTGTTGTTATGCGCTTTGTTGCAGTTTCCATGCAAATAAATAGGAGGCATTACTTTTGGAGCACAAACATACAAAAATTCTGGGGTTATATTCCCAAACTGCTCCTGCAAATGATTTTGCTGTTTCGTTGGAATGATACCAGCCTGCTGTTTCTTCCTAAATCACCTGTTTTTAGAACTAGGAAGAAAAATTACTTCCCATCTGTCACTGTTGCAGAGGAATAATCTGTGAGAATGCATATGAGCCACTCTCCCAACGTTTTAACGTACAATTCCTTCAGGTCTTGAGACTCCCATATTGAGGAAAAATGCAAGATAAAAGCATGCAACGCATCCTTTATGGTACACCAGCAAGAGATACGGACTCCTCTGAAGGTAAAACCTCAGCTCCGGGAGGCTTATGGCAGACTTGGAGAAGCGCCCGCCTCCCGCACCTCTAACCCGGGAAGCGGAAGGGGCTGAGGAGCCCGCCGAGGTGTCGTGCCGCGCCTGGTGGCCGTGCCCGCGCACCGTCGTCCCTCCCCGCGGTGAGTAGGAAATGGGGGGAGGAGACGCGATGGTGGCTGGGGGTGCGTCGCTTCGGTGCCTCGCTACGAGGCTTGCCGCCGTACGGGAGAACGGTGAGGGAGCTGTTGTGTTCGTTGAGCAATGGCGGCCCGGGCGGGCTGCACTCGGCGGGCACGGAGGGCTCGGCTGACGCGTCTGTAGGGAGCTGCTGGCTGCTGGTGCGATATGCACCGAGCGATATGCACCGAGATGCGTGGGTTGAGTGAGGGGGAGAATCGGTCCCATTTGTTCCCTTGGCCTTCCAGGCACCGAGGATAGCCGGCTGCAAGGAGCACCTCCGACAGCCCCAGCTTCTATACTGAGCTCACGTCGGGGTGGGACAGCATCAGGAGCCTCCAGAGGAAAACATTTCTACTCGCGGCGCTTTAAGAACGTTGCTACTTTGGAAAGAGCATGACTGCATCATGACTGCAACCAGTAGTTCCTCCCTGTCACAACTGCGGGCTGCGCATGTGCCACATTCAGCTCTACCAGCACAAACAGGCCTTTTGCCCACCGTTCCGTTGTTAAGACCATGGTGCTGCAGTCCTCATTCAAAAGCTGCCTGCCGCTGTCGTGCCTTCTCAGGACTCCCAGAGCTGGCTTTGGAGGCACAGCTAGTGGGGGACTCATCATCCAGTCTCTGTCTAACGATGTTTACCAAAATCTAGCAGTGGAAGACTGGATCCATGACCACATGAATTTGGAGAACCGGCAGGTCCTTTTCCTGTGGAGAAATTCCCCAGCTGTGGTAATAGGAAGACACCAGAATCCCTGGCAGGAGTGCAACCTTCAGCTGATGAGGCAAAAGAACATAAAGCTAGCCCGAAGGAGGAGCGGGGGTGGGACGGTATACCATGACTTAGGCAATATCAATCTGACTTTCTTCACAGCCAGGAAAAAATATGAGCGAATGGAAAACTTGAAACTAGTTGTGAAGGCACTGAAAGCCTTGCGGCCACAGTTAGATATCCATGTCACCGACAGGTATGACATCTTGCTAGATGGGCAGTACAAAATCTCAGGTACTGCTGCAAAGCTGGGGCGGACAACTGCTTATCACCATTGTACCTTACTCTGTAATGCCAATAAATTTGTTTTATCTTCTGTACTGAAGAGTCCTTATAAAGGACTGAAAAGCAACGCCACTCCCAGTGTGCCTGCCTCAGTGAAAAACCTCTTTGAAGAGGATCCTAGCTTAACTTGTGAGATGCTGCTGGATGCCATTGCTGAAGAATATGCCACGCAGCACAGAATAGATCATCACATCACCTTAATAAATCCAACTGATGAGACTGTGCTTCCTGGAATCAATGATAAATCTAAAGAACTACAAACCTGGGAATGGGTGTATGGAAAGACACCGAAGTTCAGTGTTAGCACGTGTTTTAACATGATCTATAAAGATTCTGTTCTTGATGTTAAAGTGGACATGGATGTAAAGCATGGAAGAATTGAAGCCTGTGACATTGATCTGCCGCAGCAGTGGCTTCCGCCAGCACTGTGCCGTGAGCTGGTGAAGAGCCTTACAGGCAGTAAGTTTTGCCCAAACGAAACCACTGCACTGTCAAGCACATTGCTGAG